ATGCACACTTCATGCACATGTGGACATGCAAAGGGGAGAGATGGTGGAGTGATGGGACAAATAATGGGAGGAGACATTCTGAACATACTAAGCGGATGTGAAAATCACACAGATGAGATTTACAAGCCACACAAAGGGTTGTGGAGGGAAAAGAAACATAGCTATTCTATAGAAATACAAGAGTGAGTGCACGCTAAGCTAGTTCAAGCAGTCAACTCGAGCTGCACTGCTGCTGACACGCCTCACTCTCCATAATCAAAAACCAAACACACCCTTCCAATCTGGCAGTCTGTTTAAGCTGCAAAATTTACCTGCTCTGTCAATGCCCTGTCAATGCTGCTGCTGCCCTGCATCGGTATTGCTGCCTGTTTTTTCAGCCACACCACCACCCAACACCCAAGATATTTGCTATGAGGTCGGAGTCTAGTCGTCAAACTCTATAACTATGTTGTGCTGCTGCAATAAACATGGCTGACATCAATTTTCTGAAAACGCATAAACTAATAAAAACTGTTGATCTCATTTTTAATTAGACAAAATACAATGGGACACTACAGAAAACTCAGGAATGGACAAGGAGATCATCGTTTCACATTACACTCTATGTGAAAAAAATGAGAAGGTAGAGCAGTGTTTACCAGTAGTAGGATGGTGAGGAAGCCGTCGAAGATGTTATTTCTGTAGGATAGGTACCCTTTCCAGCCGAAGGCAAAGATCTTCACGTTCATTTCAAACAGGTAGTAGAGGATGAAGCACAGGTTGATGATCTGACGGTTGAACCGCGAAAGAGAGAAATCAAGTAGGTTACGTTCACAGTTTCAACAAGAATGAAACAAGATTAAACAAAGTGACCTACTATTGATTAAGCTATTTTAAAGATAATTTGTCTTAAAGCTGCAGTGGGTCATTTTTATAAAATTACTTAACTTAATAACTTTGTCATTTTTGCTGAAACTGAGTATGAGCAAATTAAACCTGAGTTTGCTTGGGTCACCAGAAACACCTGGTTCAGTATGCAACTTGTATGATGTATGTGTGATGTAGAAACTTGAAAACACCAGTGCACATACACTAAGAATGAACTTTACAGTAAAATAGAGTTTTGTGTCCAGCAGGAAAAATAAACAACATTTGCATATTCAGAGATTCTTTTTTTTAATGAGATAGAAAGAGGAGATTTAAGGATTTGAAAATTATATTTTTGTTTGTGGAAAAAACACGAGACACATTATTGTTCCAAACAGACTATTTGTATATACATGTAATGTACATACAGGGTACATGTGAAAGAAATTTTACCTGTGAATTTACATGTCTAATGTAAAATAACATGAGCAATCTGTAACTGTAAATAATCACATAATTACAGTTTATTTAAAGAATATTTTTTTTCAAATCTATTATTTTTTGCAGATATTTACTGTTTATTTGATAGTTAACAAGTAATAGTTAACAGTTAAATACATATTTGTTCTGTAATTTTACATGGATT